GACAGATGACACCGAGAGCCAGAAGTGAATGAAGGCATTTTACACTCATTTTGCACAGCTGTAAGTGGTTGTACAAGAGAGCAGGCAATGGAGTGTCAGGTGCTTTGAGTGCTGAGATGAGCAATGTTCATCTTCATTTTTTAACAGATGTTTCTTAGCAGCAACATCCGATGTTTGCAGGCCAAATTCTTTTGTTGTCAGCACAGATCAAAGCATCTCCAAGATGTTTGTTGCAGAAGATATCTAAAATTTATATTTGACGGGAAATATAGGTACAAAATTAGGGCTTGGGTGAAATCTGGAGATGACTTTATTGACATCGTACAACCCAGGTTCAGAGTCACTCTAACTTACAGCAATTTCATCTAAATACCCACAAATGGGATTTTTGCAGTCAGAATATTTGAAGCTCCTCATTCCAGCAAGCTTTCCAAACTCAGGGGACTGTAGCTTTTCAACTGTATCTTTTCAGTCTTAGGGATCAAGATAGCTCCATTAATGCCAGCCTTACACCTTGAAAAACCCCCTTCCCCTTTTACATCCCTCACATATTGTGGACTGTACTGTATACGTAGATTCAGTCAGTGTTGCTGTTTTGCTAGCTTTACTCCACTGAGTAAGCTCAGGCTGGCATTGAGGCTCTAGCCATCATACAACCCCCAGAAGAAAGAATAGTTTCTTTTTGTGTGAAATCTTGGTTTGTTATATTAGAAAGTATCAATTCACCATCCCAACCTAATTAACTTCTGGGGAGAGAATGGCATTTGTCTTCTGTTTCTTTGCATGGAGTGCAAAGTCTGATAAAATGTATTACTCTGTTGTGGATAGGATGAGGTTTGCATGGGAGAAGGAATTCTCTGAAATAATGAGCACATGGAAACCCTCTTCATATATCCCACTCCCTCCCCGCCCCCGCCACAACCCCATCTTGTGTTGTCAACTTTTAGGAAAAACTCTGGAAGAAGTTACTACTAATTTACTTTCACTTCACTAGACTTCTGCTTTCAAATCAGCAGGAGGCCTTTCAGTAAACCAGTCAGTCACTGAGATGCTTTGCCCTGTAGAAATCCTAAGCACAGTGAATTGTTCTCTTGCTCTGATTTTGTTGTGTTTTTTTTTTTTCTTAGAATGGTAAAGTTAAATTTTTCAAATGCTCTGTTTAAGGTTGTACATCTCCAGATAACGGTGGCTGTAGTCAGATATGTTCTTCCCTAAGCCCGTCCTCCTGGGAGTGTGCTTGTTTTCCTGGATATAAGCTTCAGCGAGACAGAAAGCACTGCACTGCTATAGGTCTGTATCTTGGTATGCCTGCATATTTCTGCCAGTAAAAGCAAAACCATTTTAGAGTCCTTTAAAGTCGATTGCATAACTGGGATCCATTTTTGCGCTGGTTTTAGGTTACTTTGTGAAACTTGGGAAGTATTAGTTGTTTGGAAAAATAACCTATTTTGAAAATACATCAGAACAAGCACCAGGGTATGATTCGGTCTCCCTCACAGAAGATCCAGTTTAACCAACTTCTGCATTTCATCTGGGCTCCGGTACTGCAGAAGTCTGTCTGCAGTATTCAGGTTGTTGTACCTTCATATGTATACGTGGCTGTAGTTTCTGCCCAGCGTTACAGAATTGGGATTCAGGTGTTCACATTTGGAGAACAGGGTAGGGAATAGTCTGTTGAAGGACCTTCCCTGCAAGGATATTTCTCTTCCCCTGGCCTCAGGAAGCCCAAATACTTGATGTGTGTGTTTGGATCCCAGACCCTTCTGTTTCTTCTGAGAAAAGGGCAGACCTTGGTAAGCAGCAAGTTATAAGAAATTGCATGAGAGAGGGGAGGAAAGAGAAGTTTGTGATTTGTTTCTGGAATAAGGGAAAAGCTTTATTTTTTGGCAGATGGCATTTTTTTGCTTTTGCTGTGAAAGGCTTCTAATGCGCAAAAGTCAAGTGTTCTGGCATTTATGGTAATGCTGTGAAATGCAGAGGGAAAATTGTCTTGAGGCTAAGTCACCAGCGTGAAAAGCTGCAGGGCTAGTGACTGCCTTTATCACAAATTTTGAGGCTGATCTGGGGCAAGGCACTGATGCTGAAAACCTATATTCATGTTTATCTTTGATTTCTGAGGCAAGTGGAATGTAGGACAAGGGCCTTCATTTCTTTGTGCTTCTCCTCCTCATTTTGTCTTCTACCATTACTTACAATGTTAGCTAGTTAGCAATGCAGGCTAGAGATTGCTTTAAATCTACTGGAATTAACATATGTGCAAATTTTCATTGACAGGTCCTAAGCCATTTTTGTTATTTGCAAATGGCCAAGATATCCGCCAGATCAGTTTTGATGGAACAGATTACGCAAGTTTACTTGACTGGCAGATGGGAATAGTCTTAGCACTGGACTCTGACCCGGTGGAAAATAAGGTAAGGCATTAAAAATGAGAGGATTTTGAAGTGTCACAAGGACAAATGGATTGGGCTTTCATGTGCCGTAACCTTTCTGCTGTCAGTGATCCAGATTACACGTTGTGCTGCTCGTTGTTCTGTTGCCTGTCCCAGAGCACAACTGGTACAGGATGCCAAACACTGTTGAGGAGATTCATCCTTTACTTACCAACTGAATGTGTTTTGTACATTTACATGGCTAATTCACAGAGAATTTGGATTTCTAAATTCACTTCAAGCATGATTTCAACTTCAAAGAACTGTTGTGTGATTGATAGTTTTCTCCCTTAAGATTTCAGTACTGTATTCCGGAAATATATTGTGGGGTTTTTTTCACTGGGTAGCTGTAAAAGCAACAGTATCTTTCTTTCTGTACAGCTACATCCCACGATCCCTACTAAATGTGGGAATAATCTTAACAGAATCACTTTCCATGTCCTGACATTGTTGAACAAAACTGCTGAGCACTCGCTGGGTTTATTACTCTTAAAAAATGTAGTCTTTGTATTACAAGATACTGCTGTTGGAAACGGGAGTCTTCTCTGCCTAAAGAGCTGGTTGTCTGTGTGGCCGCATCCCAGTGCCCTACTCCTTGCCTGTAGAGTTGGGAAGAACAGGAGTTCAGCTGTGCTTTGCTAAACCTTCTGTGGCAGATAGTTGTTTCTTTCGCATGGTGAGACTTATTTACACTGTAAAGGCGTTACCAAAAGGTACTGGATGGTACAGTGAAAGCTGATGAGGAGCTCAGTTAACTTGCTGGAAACATCTCAAAGCCTGGACAGACAAATGCGAACATTACCAGTTCTGCGTTATAGGAGGATCGTTTCAGGCGCTGCTGGAACATCGCCACTTGCTCCTGAAATAGGGCCCTGCTGGGGAACTAGCAGTTGTTGTGTGTTGTGCCAAATGTGAATCAGGTGTGCCGGTGATGCTGGGCATGCATCCCTGTTCCAGTTCCATAGGGAGCTCTGCATGACGGAGAGTGATGGTGAGGTGATGGTGGTGGGCACGGTGGGCCAGCCAGGCTGCTGCCGTCTGGTCCGGGCAGTAAAGAACTGAGCTGCAAGGTAAATTAGCTCAGCATCGTTCTGTGCTCCCATGGTAATTGAATTAGCTGGTTTAATGCTAAAGGCCTCCCTCCTGCTTTGTTTGGCCTCATGGTTAGCATCAAAACAAAGTTATTGGTTTTGTTGTCACCATTTGCAAAGAAAACCTCAGCATTACTTTGCGTATGATTCTGCCCTACGGTGCTTGGGTCCCTCTGGATATCAAATACAAGACAAATTTTTTTTCCTCATCCGTGGAAAACACAAACCTAGTTTCCCCACCAGCAAAGAACTTTTATTTTGACCCAAAACAGAGAAGCCTCTTATGGAAATGTTAGAGCCTTACAGAATAGACACCTGGTAGAAAATTAAGATAAGTGCAGGCTGAAAGAGGAAAAAAAATAGAGGCAAATTATGTAATGTTCCTTTTCCCTTCCCAGCTCCTTGACACACATACACTACTACTCTCTTCTCCCTGCTCCTCCCTTTTTTAAAATGAGCAGCCAGTGAGATGATAACATGCTGCTTTTTGCCTGCTCCTACTTTTGCTTCCTCAGCTGTGCTTCACATGAGGTAGCTGCTCGCTGAAACAAAACCAAAGGATATTCAGAGGGCTGTATATAGGGCAACCAGGATTTACAGCTAAGCACAAGCTGCCTGTAGGAGTCATCCTGGTTGAAGGATAAGTGCCTTTTTATTTGATCAGGGATCACAGGTTACCTGTGCAGCTTTTTGTGAATAAATAGTTCAGAGAACTTGCAAGATGAAAAAGTGATTTTAGAAGTGCAACTATTAGACAAGGGAAATAGAGCAGAAAGTGAGATGGGAACTAATAACACCTCATCTGTTATTTCTTCACAGATTTACTTTGCCCACACCGCCTTGAAATGGATAGAACGAGCTAATCTGGATGGCTCAAATCGTGAAAAAGTTATTCATGAAGCTATAGATATACCCGAAGGTCTTGCTGTGGACTGGATTAACCGTAAATTGTATTGGACAGACAGAGGGTACATGCTCCACAGTGCATTTATGTTGAAGCATGCCATAAAATATTTGGAATAAATGACTGGTGATACAGAAATAGCTGAGCTATCACTCTAAATTCAGTAACGCTTCACATTCTGATTGGGTAGCTGTAATCTCAAGTATATACAGTTGGAAGGTTCTTTAAAACTGAAATGCTGGAATTGAGTCTGCTATCGTATTTTTGTCTTTGTCTCCCCAAGATGCAAGGGTTTGGACTCAGTTGCAAGGAATCTAAAGCATGTATTGCATATATACATATACGTATGTGCACATGTGCATATACATGTATACACTTCTATTTATATACATTCACTGCATGTATCTATATAGGTATATGTTTATATCTATCTATATATACACATATATATATAAAAAAAAATAGTAAGTATTACTGCACCAAGTACATCTTGGGCAGAAGTCAGCACTGTTGACAGCTAGAATCATGCCCCTTTAAGCTAATGGAGAGTCTTTGTCAATTATCTCTGATAAAAGAGGAATAACCACTGGCAGACAATATGACTTCACATTTCAGCTGGTACCTAACCTTACATGCAGAGAGAAACAAAATTGACCTTTGGTGAAAAGGCAGTATCAGATCAGAACACGTAATGAAGACTCCTTGAAGGGCGACCATGAGGTTTCAGTATGACCCATAATTTATTAGTCAATAAAAAATAGGTTTGAATGTCCAGATCACCCTCCTTCTCCTTTTTAAATATGCTGCTAGTCCACTTCCTTGCTATTAGGACAATCTTGTCTACACAATTGTACTCCTGTATAAATATGCCAGTGAAATGGGAAACTGTGGTGCTCCTCTCTGTAAGACAAGAGTCAAGGGTAAAGCTGTGAATTTGTGTCTGCCTCTTCCTTCTCGCTCGCTGCATTTACCTGTTTGTATTCCACAATTGCACGAATGTATTTCTCCTCCCATCTTTGTGTGGCCTCGCTTTGCAGGTTCGGATAGGCATGGAAGGCTGTAGGCTTGCTTTCAAGTAGAGGCTGATATTTGTTTGGCAGAGTGAAGTTTGTAGGAATAAGTACAGTTTTCTGGAAAAAAGTTGGATTGGGAGATTGGCAATGTAGATTCTATACTTGACTCTGCCATAGATTTTATGAGTGATCATAAAGACCTTAGCTTCATTCTTTCCTGTAAAATAGATATAATATGTAAAATGCTTGGTGATTTCTGGATGAAAAATGCTATGTAAAAGTACTATTTAAAAAAATTCTTTATACATTTGATAATACCATTCAGTCAGGAGCTTGTTTTCCTCCTGACTCCCTTTAAAGCTAACATTTATCTATTAGCAATCATACTTCCAACTCATTATTTGCCCAAAAAAGGAGAACCTCATGTCTCCTGCAGAGCAGCAGGTATTTTATCATCATGCCCTGGACCAGATAATGAGGCTGTAACATGAATTATTTGTTGATAAAACAACTAGACATCCCACATCAGCAGGATTACTTCCTGTCGTAAAGTTATTCGTTACAGTTTTGTGCTAAACTAAAGCAATGCAAAAACTTATTACGTTCTGCCTGAGAAGGTAATTAAAAAGATAGCAAGGAGGACCTAACAGTGCCGTGTGTGTTGCAGGAAGGCATGCATCGAAAGGAGCAGTCTGAATGGAATGCAAAGAAAAATGATCATCTGGGAGGATATCTCCCAGCCCCGAGGGATTGCCATTCACCCATTTGCTAAGTAAGGAGTGATAAATACAATTCATTGTGTAATACTTGGGGAGGCTTTTTAAAAATGAGCGTGCCAGCCTTTCCCTTTTGGCAGTCAAAAAGTACATTAGTCTCATGTTAGGATAGTCATTGCCTTGCAGAGTTGTGTGAACTGCAATGTTTTATTGCTGGGTTTCTCTTGTGAGTTGGGATGTGTTCATTTCTCATACAGATTTAAAAGAATACCAGAAGCATTAAAGATATTGTATGCAGCTTAAACTAAAGAAAAACACGGACAACTGAAGTCACCCTGACAGTTGTAAGCACCACACTGCAAACTTTGATGATTCCTTATCTATTAGTTTGAAGAAGTTAGTCACTTTTAACCAATGGTGCTTACAAAGAATTTTTTTGGCATGTTTCAGTTTCTGAGGAAAAGTAAACCAAATCTACTGTTGTGGAGATTTGTTGATTTAAATGCACCTTATATCTTCTTATCTAGTGCTGAGATGATCAGAGGAGTTTTGGATGTTTAAACTCTTGATGAAATTCTGGCCATTGTAATCAATGGCAGAGCCCCATGGATTTCAGTCTATATGCCTGTAGTAGGATGATTTTAAATCTGTGGATTTTTTTTTTTTTTTTTTGATGCTCGTATCCTGCTGTAACTAAGTACTGATGAATGAAGGAGTGAGGCCGAGTTGGGGAGGGTATTTTGTTAGTTTCACTCTGGACATAAAAGTTCTGAAAGAGTAGAAGTTGAACATGATAGAGACATTTTGCAGGAAAACTTTTAAGAACGTTCAGGGAGATTGTTTATTAGAATTATTGGTAGAGGCAAAGGCTACAAGGGGAAAAGGAGGAGGAAACATCACTAAAACCTTCCGTATTAGAAAGTTAATGGTGAAAGGAGGAACAGACATTGTAGCAATGTCCATAATTATAAAGTCAGTATTAAAAAGGGATCTGAGACACAATTAATTTTATTGAAAACACTGATCCCTGCATTGGCTACCGCAAAACTGCTGATGTAAATAAAGCTACATGAATCTGTGGGTTATTTCAGTAAACCTGACACAGGCAGCTGATGCCTGGGCAGACTGGAGTCCAAACTCCAGGAGTAATTTGTGGTTTTGGCTATCCCCATTTTGAGCTGCCATCTAGCACTGTCTGTTTGTTGAAAAACAGTAAGTTAGTGAGTAGCGCTCAGGACTCTAGAGAGAGACTCTGAGAATCATGATTTTATTAAAAGAATAAAAGAAGCTGGGCCTGATACTGCTTTATTTTTTTAAAACAAAATAACCTGAGGACTCTTGCTGGTTTTCCATGGGTGGTGGGTAATTTTGGTTCCATTTGTGCGTTGTTACACCCTTGTTTAGACAAGGGACTGGCTAATGCATCATCTTCTGTTGTCTGGGTTTGCTAAACCGCTATCAGCAGTCATGTGGAAAATGCAAAAAGCAGATAGGAAGAGTTGGCAGTTTTGTGCCAATGAACAGTGCGGGGTTTCTGCATAAGTCCCACTGTAATCACCTGGAGTCTTATGGCAAGTGTGAAAAGATCAGCAGCCAATATATTTGCTTGAAGTGTGCGCTTTTTCTCATATGCCTCAGGCCTCTGATCTGATCTTTCTGCTTTGAAAGAACTCTGTGGAGAGGAGGGCAAACATTTACTTACTGACTTCCTGTATGTATTTTGTTTTCTAAAGGAGATTATTCTGGACTGACATGGGGGTTAATCCCCAGATTGACAGCTCTTCATTAGAAGGCATCGATCGCCAGGTTATAGCCAGCAGTGGTCTGGTGTGGCCCAGTGGAATAACTCTCGACTACTTAGCTGACAAGGTGTACTGGTGTGACGCTAAGCAGTCGGTGGTCGAGAGCGCAAACCTGGACGGTTCTGGTCGTCGAATTCTTGCACAGAATGATGTAGGTGAGGCTTTGGCATTGATAATTACCTACTGCTGCTTGTCAGTGTGCATGCGTATCTGCATATGTGTATGTGAATTACTGGCCAGCAACTGTGTTGTGTATCCCATGCAATTCTGTGTTGACGTTAATGGCATCACTTAGTTCTTCCTTCTGTTACCCAGTTGACTTTTATTTATTAATTTTAGCAAAAGAACACCTTTCTAACACTCTCTGCTTTTACTAATCAGCCACTTGGCATTGTATAGAGAACTTCTCTGGCTTCACAGAAAAATAAAAGGAAAAAGTTAAAAATGTGGTTTGCTTGTTCCATGCATGGCTGCTTAGTGTAATTCAGGTTTTGCTATGTTTATTACACCAGTGAGTTATATTGGCGTAAGCTGGAAGAGAATTAATCTTGGCCATTAAGGTCCTTGAGCACCAAACCTACATCTGCATAGTGTTGAACACTGGGGTGATTGTAAATACACAATAGACACTAAATGGAAAAATGATTTATGCAGTATGCTGGTAGTTGTTATGGCTGAGATTTCTATTGTTTGACACACAGCTGTGTTGTTCTGGAGCAAGAGAACAGAAGTATTAGCAATGAGGAACTGACGTTGTACTACATCTAAAGTAAACCGTGTGTTTAAGAATCTCATACATGGCAAATTAGTTTCTGGAGAGGACAATTCCCTTTGTGCATCGTATCTCTCTGGGGACCTTTTTGTAGGTGTGCATACAAGACAAGGACAGAATGAGGACTCTTGGCTCAATACCGTGATTGCCATGGGTAAAGACGTGACGGGTACTCTGTTAAGCAGCTGCTGTTCTAGTCTGTGCTCTGGGAAGGCTTATGTTCGTCTCCTAAAACAGTTGCCCTCCCACTTGCTTGAAGGTGAGCGGAGTGAGGTCTTGGAGGGAGCAGTGTTCTCCAGTTCATAAGACATCAAAGCCCTGAGCAGAGTGACTTCCCAGCCTTCCTCGCTTTTCCCCTGCTGCACAGATTCTGCTGTAGGCTCCACCTCGCAACTGATCTGCAGAGGAGGACCTTGAAGCCTGTTGAAAGTTGCCCTTTGTTTCTCCACAAGGAATGAGACAGTGTCTTACGGGGAGAAAATAGAGAAGGAGAGCTTGGAGTGCTGGAGAAACACAGGGTATGGGAAAGGAGGTAGGCTTGGAGCAGTGATATGGCTGTTTGGAGGTGGGAGAAAAGGGTTTCAACACCTGTATGGAAAGACGTGAAGGAGATGAAGTGCAGACCTGTAGGGGTATGAATTTAGAGAGGCAGACAGACTTGGTATCCTGATGTTTTGCTAATGCTGTTAGTGAGACCAGAATTCAGCTTCTGTTCTTGGAGAGCCGTACACTGGAGGTCGGGAAGGTGGCACCTCTTCACAGGCATTCTGCTGTAACATGAATTTTATTCCAGCAGCTCCCTCTAGTGCCCCTGTGCTGAGCCTTCAGTATAGCTGCATGCAAAATAGGTCACATTTCTTCTATTCTTCTAACCTCTTTTTCAACTGTAAGTAAAACAGCCTGTAGGCACCTGCCCAAGGCAGCGAGCAACACAACCAGTCCTTTTGTTTATGTAATGGGTCAGGTTTGCACTGGTGTGGAAAAGGGTCATGTAATTATTAATTTTTCTGTTCCTACTATCTCCATTGATGACACTACACTTCTATTTGTAATCCTTAATGTATTTGTAAGTGAAGAGGTTAAGGAATTGCTGGTCAAAGCGGGGTGTTGTTTGTTGATAGTGCAAGCTATAGATCCTAAAATTTTGAGTAAATGTTTGGATAGGGACAGTATCTAGATCTTGCGCTGGTTGCTCAAATTTCATGGAAGGAAAAACGAAGAACCATGCCCAGCAATTAAGCATGGTTCAGTGAAGGTAGTGAAGTGCTAAATGAATAACATATACTCTTCAACTTAACACTTAAGAATGCTTAAACAATGTCTTAGAAGTTTTCTTATGTAGGAGTGGGTTTTTTCAGTTTATTTGTGATGTGTATTTAAGATACACAATACACCAACACATACTCCTTCACCAAGGTTCTAATTTATCTGTTGTTTTGTTGCTTGGCTTTGATTTTTTTTTTTATTCTTTTTTTTTTTTTTTTTAAAACTAATACCTTTTGGTATGAAAATTTGGGAAATTAAACATCATCTACTTGAGGTCTGCTTCAAAACACAGAAACACAGATCATAAAATCATGTGCCCTAAAACATACCTTTCAGAGGGGCTGAGACTGCAGTGGTACAAAGTGAGGTGCACATTCAGACTAGAGCAAAGCAAACCCATTTCAGTGAGAAAGCGCGCACTCTGAAACCAGGTGGACATCCATGGAAGAACAGTGTGTTCTGTTGCAAAAAACTTGCCCAAAGGCTATCTTGAAAGCAGGAGATTTCTAAATGTATAGAAGGAATGCATAGTCCCATATGGACTAATGACAATTTTCTATCACAACAGAGATATTAAAAAGAGTCAGAATCATTTTGCAAAGATCTTTGTATCTATAAGTATGTCTGCCCTTATATATGAAATTGCCCTTTGGATTCTGAATTGCTGAGCTTCTTTCGGGAAGTCAAACCAAGGATCTGAGTTTTCATACTGCAGATAATGCTACGCGACCAAGGAAAAATTGCTGTACTCTGAACTTGGGGTGGAATTTCTCTCACCTACTGTTAGTCATGTAAGTGTTAGGTGTCGGCTCTAAGCTGGTGTCCAGGTTCCTGTTGCAATCAGTGAAAAGAGAGGAAGCTGCCCGGATGATCTATTGCATCCCATGGTTTGTGTTAGCTGTTACTGTTAGTTAGCTGGCTAACAGACAGTGACTAACTAGTCACAGCCTACTGCTGCTGGTTAGCCAAAGTGAGGAAAATTAATTCCACTCTTGGATTTTGCATTGTGATGAATTGGCTATGAATCTCTGTGTATATTTATATGTACGTGTGGACTGCTGTATTGCACTTGTGTGTACTTTTGGCACTTACAGAGACCACCACACACAGGCTTTGGGGCTCTACCGTGAGTCCGTGCCTATAGTATCTGTAGCTTCCAGGCTGCCCCGTGCCAGTACTCTCATGCAGGATGACACATGCCGTGAGTTCCTCTCCTCCCTGTTATGAGAAGACAACAAAAGGAGCTGTGTACCTCAGCAGCTCTGTACTGGGTCACTTACTGGCAGAGGAAGAAGGCATTCCACTTCTGAGAGGCTGGTCCCAATGCTGCTTCAAGAAATGATCATATCTGAGGTAGAAGCATCTTGTGAACCTGATCTGGTTGGAGGTCACAGCAGTGTAGAGACTGTACTGAGCCAGGCAAGTGTCATCACCTCCTCTGCTAAGAGCATAAGTAACATGTGCTCATGGTCCATCATTCCTGGATGCTTATCCCTCCCCACGAGACACCAAAGTGGAGAAGTGGCTATGGCTATGCCGCTGTGTTAGAAGTAGACCTGTATGCAGATACTGCTTTTGTTTATGTGGTTTCTTGTGTGTGTTCTACAGATGTGGAAATGAGAAATCTCATTTCTTTGTAGGCCATCCTTTTGATGTAGCGGTGTTTGAGGATCACCTTTGGTTTTCTGACTGGGCTAGGCCATCACTAATGAGGGTGGACAAGAAGACCGGCCAAAACAGGGTACGTCTTCGAGGCAGCATGCTGAGACCCTCATCAATGGTTGTAGTTCATCCTTTGGCGAAACCAGGTATACTGCAAAAATTAAGCAGTCATTCCCTTCCAGCCTCCTCTTATTCACTGATATCAGTAGAATAGATGCCCTTGGGGAGAGGATTATCTTCTCAGAAATAGGCTCTTTAAAAGGCCTTGCATAGTCAGGCTGGCATTTATTGAAAGCATCATCTGGGCATGTGTCCCAGGAATGCTAACAGATTCTGTATATTTATGTTCATGCCCAAGAATAGATGCTGATCAATTGCCACGAGGCTACCATAGTCTTCTAAATCCTATTTATCCTAGTTTATTAGCACCCCTCACACACACAAATAATAACAAATGACAGGGAGAAAGATTTTGTAAGATTTATTAGTTTTGGATCAAATAATTTGATTTTCTGTTGGGAACAATATCCCTGTAAGCAGAAAAAAGTAATTCAATAGACCACGCTTGAGAGAAGGTAATCACAGGTTCCCTATGCCCTTGTAATGTTCTTTCAGGGAATGTTAGGACTCTAAATATTAAAGGAGAAATCATAAAGGAAATTAAAAAACCAAAAGTGTTACAGTTATTAGATGGAGAGTATGCAAATCGGCTTTCCTGCCAGAGGCTAGGTGATAATATCTATACTTTACTAAATGCATCTGTTTATAATTAAAAAAAAAAAAAAAAAAAAGGTGTTCTAGTTTTTGTCAGCCCTTGTTCTTTTTCCAACTGCTTCAACTCTCCACAGCTAAAAGGAGATGTTGACCGAAGAAGCAGCTTGTTAAGTTGCCTGTTTTTCTGCATTAGGGGCAAATCCTTGCCTTTATGAGAATGGAGGCTGTGATCAGATCTGTGAAAACAATTTTGGAGTTGCCCACTGCGTGTGCCATCCAGGATTTGGGAAAACTCAAGATGGAAAAACCTGTCGTGCTCTGGATGCTTCCAACACAACAGCAGGTACAATTTCCCCAAACCTTTGGGGATCCTGACAGATAGCGTTGGAAAATATTCACCTTGCCCTACATAATGAACACTGGTTTCTCTGAAGAATGAAAACATTGAGGTGTTGTCCTGGGGCAATAGCATGTTGTCTGACCATTGTAATTTTTCCCTTGGCATGTTAGCAGTAAGAGAGATGTGTCCAGTGCTGACAAGTATTGTCAGCAATGAGTTGCATTCCATGTCTTTTGTATTTGAGAAAATCCACCAGTGAGGGGTTTTAGGAATAATTTGAGGCCAGAAATGGGCTAGTCTGAGAGGATACTGACATCTATTTTAAAGGGAAACCACTGTGATTGTTGGAAAGTAGACAAGTCATAAAAAATCAGGAAGTTAGTTCAGTAGGTTTAAATAGTCTGTGTCACTTTTTTCGTGTCTTTTTCAGGAAGAGTCTCTGTGCCCAAGGAGGTAGTGCCGATGCCAACACCAGAGACCTTGCTCCAGAGCACACAAAGCAGCGGGATATTCAAGGATATGGACAGTGAGGAAAAGCAGAAAATCAGCATTTTGTTGATGGCTGAAATCATGGTATCAGGTAGAGTCTGATGATTGTCTTCCTGCTGTTTATTGTGAGGCTCTAAACAGATTTATGGAACAGAAAGAAATCATAGGCGTTAAAGGAAGAAAAGCTTAGTATCAAGACTGGTGGCATTCATGCTCTTAACCCTTTTACGAGAAGTTGGGTCTATGCAATTATGCCAGATAGGACTGCTTTGTTGTTTGCCTCCATATTCCTTTGCTATGTCAACAAAACTTGAGAATATTATCCAGGTCTAGCGAACAAATGTTTCTAATCTGGAACACTTGTGAAAGTGTCTCCCTTAGATTTTATAAGTGTATTAAGTTGCTCTGAACAAGATTGCAGTAAAACCATTGAATTCTACATGTGTTCGATGACACTAGATCATTACATTGTGCAATAGGTTTTGCATACAATATTCAGAAATCCTGATACTAAATGACACTTCAACTCCATCTAGACAAAGACGACAGCTCTAATGATTGTATTGGCTTGTCATCATTAACCCCGGAGAGCTATGTTTCAAACTTTGACTGTATGTTCTCGTTTTCTTGTTAGTTTTTTGTTTGTTTGTTTGGTGTTTTTTTTTTTTATATATACAGTACCTCCTTTGATCTGTCCAAATGCATCTAGTGTTTTTTTTTGGTTTTGTTTATGCTATAGATCAAGATGACTGCACTGCACTAGAATGTGGTGTCAATGCACAGTGTGTTTTGCTGGAAGATGGTGCTGTGTGCCAGTGTTTGAAAGGATTTACCAGGAAGGGAAAATCATGCTATGGTAATAAAAGACATTAGTACAACCTTCTGGAAAACTGTAGATTGGGGGAGTGGAAGAAAATTTATCTTTTTTCACATTGGCAGCTCTGCTGCATGAGCTGTCAAAGAAAGGTCAATGGTATTGCTTGTTTTGAAAGCAGAGAGCACGCGAGATGAAATGGCTAATTATCACATGCCTTATGTTCCCCTGAGTCATGAATATTAATCCTATTAATATTAACAAGCAGTATTGAGGATAATAAGAATAAAAGCATAATGTATTTATTTGTAAAAATTGCCTAATTATAAAAGCTCAGTCTATAGGCATGAGAGTTGATGTATAATTTAGAAGTATGTATTAAGGAATCTCTTAAAAATTAGTATTCCTGATATAATGTTTATATCAAAGTGCTGCTCTTGTTTCTTTCTAGCACTAGAGAGAGACTCTAACAATCAGACAACACATTGCTGAGAGTGGTCTTTCAGTTTTTGGACTTGCATACAACATAAATGGAAGCACTTTGTTCTCTCACAAAGACCAAGACAGGAAGGCATTAGAAACAGAACAACTGACCATTTGGTGGCTAAGCGTGAAGACTCCCAGGAGTCTATGTAGCCATAGAAAGGAAAAAAAAATTGGAATGTGAAATGGATGTAAACTTTTTTTTCATTGTGGTACCTTTTGGTTCTTTTAAGCTTATGTGTTCTTTCTCTAAACAAAGATTCTCTCTGAGTAGAGTTTAAGAATATAAGGCTAGTTTTGAATAGGATCGTTCCTTCCAAATGGGATTTTTCTTGAAGCATGTGGTCTTTGTGGAACCTCTAGGTCTCCAGTTGAAAATAGCTGGTTGACTGTCTTAGGCTTTTTAGAACATCTCCATCGAATTTCATACCAAGACCACAAAGCCCTTAACTTCCCATGTGCTTCAGACGCCCAAATGACAAGTGACAGCATAGTCTGAGGGAGATTCATGATGTAGACATTTCTTTTTATCGATTTACCTGATGGTTGCATGACCCATGTATCCCGTCTCCTTGTTTTGTCTCACAGATGTTGATGAGTGTGCTGTAAATATGGACCACTGTAATCGAAACGTGTCGGGCTGTATCAATACAGAAGGGGGCTACGTCTGTAAATGCCTGGAGGGCTACACTGGAGACGGAGTCCATTGCTACGGTACGGGCATGTGTGAGAGCTCTGCTGTGTCTGGAAGGCTGGGGCAGGATAAACAGGCAAGAGAATTGTCTTACGATTTGGGTTAGCCTTGCATCAAGCTGTGAGGCTGTCAAATGAGCTGTTCTGGTTCTTTTTGAAAAATCTAGTAGGGGGCACAGATCGTAACAGTGGCTCCTCTGGACAATTGACATTTATCATTTCTTCCTTTTTGATTCTTTCCTACTTGAAGTGTGGCAACCTCAGCAACTGATCAATATGGGAAGCCTGTAGTTGTCAGTGGATACCTCCTCTCAGTGTTTGCACTCTTTTTAGTAGCTGCAGCAGGAGAGAGAGGAAGAGTGAAGGGGAGGAGGGAAGTGGAGGTGAAGCAGTAGAGCTTTATTGGAAATCGTTGCCATGAATATAAACGAAAGCAGGTATTGAGTGTGTCATAATACTCATCAAATAATTCCAGGTCTGTTTAATAGGCATGAGGTTCAAGGTGTTGACATTGACAACTTGAGTACTTTTAGAGTCTTGTTAATAATCAGACCCACTGATTTTCCTGTCCAGCTCTAATGCCAGGACTTTAGTTCATTCCCTACATTTCTTAATTTTTTAATCCATTTTATCAGTAAATGTAAAGGAACAGGAAGCTTTTCCCCCCCAATATTTGACTAGCACACCGTTTATTCAGAGCTTTATGGGAGTTGTGGGTTCTCTTTTGTCCTTTTCTTTTTCCTTTTTCCTTTATAACCTAATTTAAAACCGATTAAATTTGACGCAATACTTGCATAGTCTTTACTGGACTTTGGTTCTTCAACACAGATAAGGATGACTGAAAAATTAACAATATGATTATTATGGGCAGGGTGTGGAAAGTATCAGAGGCTGGAGGTTCAAGAAGGCATTCTGCCTACAGTAGTCAGAGATCCAGAGCTCATGTTTTTGAGGATGTTTGGAAGTGCAGACAGAAGTGACAAGCTCCTCTTGCTGTCCCAGCACCACCTACAAGGCATGTCCCCAGGCCGCCCTGGGCTCTCCCTGTCTATGGTATAGTTGTTCAGCTAGAATGATTGTGGTGCCTACCACTATTATTGAAAAAAAAATCCATTATCGTCTTGAAGTGCAAAATATGGCAAGAAATCTTTTCACGGGATTTTACCAATGATGCAATGTTGTTATGATGTAAACAGAATTGAAACTAATTTTGCATTTGGTGTCTTGAAATGTACTATAAAAGCCAGAAACTGGTAGGTAAGTGATTTTGTACTTCAGCTTTAGACATCTGCATGCATGCACAGTGTCCAGAAATGCGTCAGTACATCCAGAGATGGTAAAAGATGAGTTCATGTTGTGTTGTTGAAATCACATTTCTTGGAATATGCTGCAACAGTTTTGTTCCTGTATTTTTGCTTTTAAAAGTGCTCTGAATTTTCTATACTCTTATGGGCCAGATCCCATTAATTTAACTGTGGGAAAAACCTCAGTGGTTTAAGCAATAATTTCACACAGATTGGGATGGTAGATCTGTGATTTTGTTTCCTCAAAGTAGATCTGGGACATGTGTTCTGCTGACAGCTCATAAAATGAATCGGAGTCTCCCAAACTCTGGTATGTGAACCCTTTCAAAGTTCCCACCTTTGAAGGGGCGTGCTTAGGCACTTTGCACCCTGCAGGTGCCAGCCCGCGGGGTGAGTGCCAGCCTGGCAGGAGCTGCCACTGCGGGCTGTACTAGAGAAAGGTGAGGGTGAGGATGTGCAGCAGAATGGGGATGAGGGGTATACATGAGGTATATAGGAAGTATATATGAGCCTAACACAGGCTCTGAGCCTGGAAACTCTTGTAGTCGGGGAGCGTCTTCGTAATAATTCAGAGGCTCAATTCATTCACACGTTTACACAAACTGTAGGTTTCTAGACCCTTTCCTTCTGTTTAAATTTTTGGTTTAGACTGGACCAGGCAGGTGGTACAGGGGCGGGCAACTCCCAGCTCCCAAACACTTCTGCTGTGTTAATACAAGAATGCCAACAGATGGTAGTCTAATACTCATCCAGGGTGCAAGCTGTGACTAGCAATGCCAGGAGAATATATCTAGTACAAGTAAGTCTTCTCTTCAATTCTACTGTACTTGTTACTTTTCCTGGGGAAGCCTTTCCTTCCTTCTCCCTGTGGAGAGCTTCTGCAGAGCTTCTCCCAGCTCTTGAGAGGATGGGAGACTGAGATTACTTGGCATAGAAAGTATGCTAGTTGGTTTTCCGTTACGTTTTCCATGAAGGCATATTTGCAGAGGGAAGCTCTTCGGTGTTTTTCCCCACTGCCAGGAGACTGCAGTGCTGCAACTGCTGCCCTTTTAACCGATGCTCTGAGGCATTTCGTTCTTCTAACTGCAGACTGTTTGGGTGACAGATATTGATGAGTGCAAGACGGGGTCCCACACCTGTGGAGAGAACATAACCTGCACAAATACAGAAGGAAACTTCACTTGCTCGTGTGCTGATGATGCTTCTGGAACTGGCATCGGTTGCAGTGAGTAAACGGAGTGAGCAATTAAAATGAAGTGGCCCTTAACTAAGAACTGTGCTCTTGGATGAATTCTTATTTGTCCAAGGAAATTAAGGAAACCCTGTATGGTGACATACTGAGCAGCTTGTGGATCCACTTAGCATTGCTTTAGGAGGCTGTTTTGAGGTGGGCTAAGGAGACCAGATCCAAGTTTAGTTTGGAAATATCTACATTAAGGTTCAGTGCTAATTTTTACTGTCTAAATGTAATGACACATCTATCTAATGGCCTTTACAATCAACAACAGAAGTAAACACTCCTCGGAGGCAACATTTTTGGAGGTGATTTCAATCTATGTAATTTTTCAAACTCTCTGTGCCTTCTTTCCCTCTGCAGAAGGCTAGCAGAAGAACTGCACAAAATTTCAGTCTCATTTAATTCTTCAGAATAAGCTAGTCTTTCAGATCCAGTGGCTAATTTTTCAAAAGGACTCTGAAACTCTGTAGAAAATCTGGTTAACTATTTAACAAAGGGGGCTGCTGAAGGTTCAGCACTAGTGACTATCTGACCCTCATTTCAGCACCTCAATGTGGCAGCAGCATTCTCTGAAAAGGTAGAGCTGAGTGACTCATTGTCTTACTCTGTGTCAGCCCCCTTCATCAAGGTGAATTTTACTCCAGATCAAGTGACTGTCTGATGGTAGAGGGACACTGTGTGATTGTCACAGATCTGTTTCTGCAGAAAAACAGAAGGAAATTATGGCTTTTTTACGTAGAACACCTATCAGGATTCCCACCCCCATTTCAGTTACTTGAGGTTTCAGTAGTTTCAGGTGTCACTCAGGAAATGATGATTTTAAATGATGCATGATTTGGAAGTAATGCCTTCTAGGTCCCTCAGCTGTAGGTTCGATCCCATGTCTTTGTGGATGGTAACACACTGGTTTAGTTCTTTGCCTAATAAGCTCTTTTAGCAAGCTGAAATTTTCTTTGCAGAATGCAGTCACACCTGGGGTTCACTAAAATCACACATCCCTTTTCATTCAGGCTCTTTACCGTGGCAGTTCTCCTGCAAATGAAATTTTTGAAAACAAATGTCATTGAAGGTCATGTTGCAATAAAACTGGTGTGAGTCATAAAACTGATCCCATAAATGTATGGGAGCGATTAGGCACGTTTCTGCTAAGCCATACTGCTAGAAAGTCTTTGCCATGTAGATATTTGGTTCTGACCTATAGATTTGCTGTAGCATCAGAGTAGGCAAGAGCGCATTCCTTTTCTGTAAGAGCACGTCTGCACTGTAGGTCATGCTGTGCAGAGATACTAAAGCTACCTCTAAAACTAGCTAGTTTGGGTATCTGTGTGTGCGAACCAGAGCAGGCTGCAGAACCCTTTGAAGAATTGGGTCAATAGAGTTCCCTGCTTCCCCAGTGATGCTGTTATCTGTACCCGATCTAGCTTGAAACAATAAAAAAATGTGGTCTGCAGTCACACACAGATGCAATCAACTGGATGGCAGCAGAGTAGAAATAATCTGCATAAGAAAGACAAGTTGCGTGTGAAAAATTCTCAGTCTGAGATCAAGTGCATGAAATACAGTCACCCTTCACCTGTACATCTGACTTTGTGCATGGTAGAGATTTTCCATACCCTAAAGCTGCATAAGTTGCAAAAATCATTTAACTGTAAGTGATAGACAGCCAGTGCAGTTTTTCTTCAAAGCTGTACTCACACATCTAAATAGACAGAACTCAGCCAACCTCTGTGGGTCTTTCATTGCAAATCTAGAATCAAGCATATTTAGTATTTTGATCTAAAGTTCTCTGTGCTTAAATTTGATAAGCAACATCAGCAAACAGGTAAAATGCAAGTAATTGGTCAAATTTCGAGATTTTTACCTACTTTCCTATCTCGAAGTTCTGGAACTCTTTCATAGATCACATTGTCAATGCGGCCGAAAGTTTGAGATGTCTTTGTGAAATCCTGTGTTTCAGAATCTACTGTCCCCCCAACTGCTGTCAACAATGAATACTCTACACACCCTGTGCAAGGCGATATTGTGGGATGCCCTCCTTCGTACGAGTCGTACTGCCTCCATGGTGGTGTGTGCAATTATGTTTCTGATCTACAAGACTATGCCTGCAAGTACGTACAGAAATTTACATTGTCTATGTTGATGTATGGTATCCTTAGGGCTCAGTTGAGTCCGGACAGTGAAGTGTTTGTCCTTAAATTATCTGTTCATCACTCATGCTAGTAATTATCACTAGACTCTGCTCTTTTCTGTACGTGATTACTGTGAGTGGTCACTCCATTCATACCCAATGCAATTAATAGTAGGATTGGATTTGTTTCCTAAGCACTCGATACTTTGCTTTGGAAATGTAAGATAAGTTGTTAAATGAGTTATTGCTCATGGCTTTGTGAAAGAGGTGCTTGCTGTCTCTCCTGTACGTATCATGCTGACTTGTACCTCCTTCTTGGCCTTGCTGTTCCTGTGTAGCACTTGCTGGGGTGCAAGAGGACACTTCTGTCTCGTCTCCTCTGACTGGGACTAGGGAGAAGTCTAGTGTCAGCATCTTCCCTTAGAGTCTAAGAGTCTTAGTCCCTGGCAGAAAGGGTACAACATGATGGTCCTCTTAAAAACAGGGAGAATAGCAACGAGACCTTAAAAATGAGATGTCCTTCCCCCTTTTGATATTTTTGTGAAACCTAATTCCTGGTTCTCCAAATGCAGTTACTGATAAAAGCAAAGAGAATCTCCTATCTCCAGAAGTCAGCCTTGGCCTGGTCAACGTGACAGCCTAGTCCCATGGGGTAATCATTTCTTCAAAACCATTAGTGTTGGAGTTTAATTGTGTAACTTGATTATATTTGAATCTGTGCTATATCTTTCTTCAAAATCAAGCATAAAAGTGTTTACAGTGGGACAAATCCAATGCCTGCCTCCTCCCTCGGGGTACGTCACCTGGTAAGCGAGGACCTGTGCAGAGGATGGATGCTGTTCCATAGTAGGCAAATCTCCCTCTCTGTCTCGGTAACTTGGGTGGCCCTGGTGTAACCGTGGAGCGAGGAAAGCAAACTTTGTGCTGAAGGGTTTCTTTGACCCCCCCCATTCCCCCAGATCTTCCTTGTATTGTACTGCAGGAACCTCTGTACCAGGCCATTCCTGCAAGCACCGTCAAATCCTAGGCTTTCTTACTTTTAAATGAGTGGTGTTCCCTGCCTACAGACCTCTGTACCTGCAGGAATGTGAAAAGCATGTATCTCATGTATGTACGTGGGAATGAAGTGGATGCTTTGTGCTGTGGATTTCCTAAGCTCAGCAAAGCCCTTGGGCAAAGCCATTACAGGAGATGGGCTCTTGGTCATCTCTGGTATTTGTTATGAATTTTTAGTGTAAATTTGAGAGGCATTGAAAACTATCGTTTTTCATCTCACTGAGTTTCTCCTACTGAAATTGAAGAGTGTACAAATGCAGAACTTTCAAATTGGATCACAACTCTCTTTTCTTTTATTTGTTAGGTGTTAGCGCATCCTAAGAATCCAAATGTACATATTCTTCAGTTCTGGAGGTGAAAGCTGTTTAAAAAATTAAGGAACAACTGTGCTTAGCCGTGCTCTTGGGGGTCAGGGTTTGTGTGTGGACCTTGCTCAATTCTCAGTAGATGGCAGCATTCATTCATGTAGGCTGTTACACGTTAAATACCAAAATGAAGTCATGGAAAAATGTTATCTAGCAAAAATATCTAGCAAAAATCACATACCAAATGTGATTAGTGTTTTAATTAATAAAAGCTCCTACACTAGAAAGTAGATCTTCTATCTTATTTGGAATTTATTGTGAAGTTACATTAAGAAATTAGCATTTTTGTGCCCTCCAACATATATGCATTCTAATTTGTGACAGAGTGAGACTGCTTTTGCCTGATTTAATAATGAATGATGATATAAATGTCCTGATTTCAGGACATTAGGTAAAAGCTGCTGCAGGTCAAATCCTGCTTCTTTTGCTCATTTGACTAGCTCTTTTGACTTGAGTAAAACTAGACCGATAAGAATTGTGAGAAGGATTTGAGCCTATGTTGCTGAGAGATTGTTATGAATTGAATAGACTTTTTATTTTTTACGTTTATTATTTCCTTTTTTTATGTCTCTTACCTTGGACAGTAGAACTAGACTGAGATTCTTTTTGATATATTTCTCACTTTCTAGTAATTTTGTTTTGACAGTTTCATGCACTGATAAGATATTTCTATGTTGGGTTTTACAGTGGTAAAAACAAACAAACACAAACTGCCTACAGAAGAAGCTTATATTAAAACTAAGTTATGAAGGTATTTCTAACCTGTTCGAGTTTTTTTTAAACACTTTCATTCGTCTTTTATTTTAAAGTAAGAATTCAGATTAAAATTTGATTCCTTTAACCAAATTACTCTGAAAATACAAGTCCTATATTGCCTATTTCAAAGACAGGGAAGCTTGCTGCTGGAAACAGTTAAATGGAAAATCTTAGGAAACACTACTCACACAGAAGGATTTAAGAGAAAATTATTTCTTCTATTCTTTACCCATTGGAATCTGGAAATTATAATCTCTTTGTATAATTCTATAGGTAATTCAATAGCTTTACGGTAAAAAAAAAGTCTTTTAATATTGAATTCTACAGGTTTCAACAGCCATTCCTTTAAAATAATTTTGTCTTCGCCACTACTAAATTCAGCCAGATACTTCTGTAGCGGTTGCCAATGGTAAATCAATACGCAAGGTGACTGAAGTGATGATCTGGGGTTTTTTCCCCTTCCTTTTGGCAGCTGTGTGACGGGCTATGTCGGGGAGCGGTGCCAGTTCAGCGATCTGGAGTGGTGGGAGCAGCAGCAGCACGCGGAGCGGGTGAAGATGCGGAATATCATCATTGCGGTCTGCGTAGCGGTGCTGGTCCTCCTGCTACTGCTGGGATCCCTGGCTGCCTACTGCCGCAGGTAGTGCTTCCAAACACGCGCGGTGAACTTCTGGCACAGGAGCCGAGGTGCTGCTGACTTTCACAGAGGGCTCACGGTGAAGAACGTGAGCTGATCCTCAGCTGGTGGAAATTGCCATGTCATCCTTGCTACTCTTTTGCTGTTCAGTAATTGGATCTATGAATAATTCAGAAAGTTCTGGCATGTGCCTTGCCTGGTGTTAGCGAGTGACATGTTCGGGGGGGTGAGAAGAATATACCTTAATAGATTTGAAGAGGAGTCATAATTTGTATTGATGAGAGTGTTCAGGAGCATGCTATTTACTTCTTCCTTGGTCTCCCTTAAGAGCTCTAGATGTCTGAAACTGTCGTGGTAGGGCTTTGCTCTTCTCTGCTAGCTGTCCCATTAGTTTGGTTTTGCTTCCCTTTCAGTGTAGAGTGGCACCTGAAAGTTTCCTTGCCATTGAGAAAACCAGCATGCTAACCTTCCAATAGCAGCCTTCCACAGTGATGCCTCCAGCAATGAACGTGAAAGCAGTTCGGTAGAAAGAGTAAAATCAGGGATGTCAGCCTAAGGCACATCTGTTTTAAAAGTACTCCCTGGCATTTTCCATGTAATGAATTGTGCAGGTTTGGGATTCTTCTCCTGGCAAAAATGATCCCTACAGTCACTATTTAAGAACCTAGTCTGATGTGAAATTAACTGTCATCGATGTCCCCTGGACTGGAAAGTATTCAGCATTTAGTAAGTTAGTCTTTTGGCCATGACTTCAGCAGATAACTGTTCTCAGAGGCTCTTGTTTAAATGCATATTTATATTTAAAAGTAAACAACCGAAAAGCCAGACAGCATCCAATCAAGTCTCCTGCTGCATGCAGCCCTCCCCTCTGTGTGCAGGGGTTTTGTTTGTGGTTTAGGTTAATTTTAAAATTGGACTCTCCTAGGCATAAAATTTAAGCTGCAAAAGCAGCTAATATCTTCCATTCTTATTTAATGTTTCCTAGCATATTTAGTCCATAAAAGTAGAGAAGCTGACACGTTTCTTATTGTCTATTAACTAATAGTAGATGTCCAGAATTAAAGCTAAGCACAGCCTGGTTTGTTCTCATGACCTGGGATTCAGAAGCTAATCCATGGAGTGATACATACAGAAGAGACAAATTGTGAGATTCTTGTATTTCCCACATATGTCATATAAACTGTCATGAAAAATAGCCAGAATATGGCTGGTTTTAAGATGTGAAGATACTAATTCTCTTCCCTTCCTCTCTTTTTTGTCATTTCTTCCTGATTTACCCTTCTTTCTTGCCAAATGCTTTTGATCAATATAACTATTTACCTCTACAACAAATTTTCAATTACATGCTTGACTGAATTTGTACTGCAGCTATTACTAGCATAACTAGATCAAAATGAAATCACTGACCTAAAATCCCTATTTAACTGGAGTCTGGAAACCAGTATTTGGATTGAAATTGTTATGCTGCTTTTTCACATAATCTACTCCATTTTGAAATGTACCAATTAAGTCTGTAATAGTCCAGTTCCTTCCCCTGTAAAATGGAGATGCCTGTCTCCTTTTAGTTGGAGGAAATGAAGTTGGAGATCTACACTTGCCAGTTTGAAGAATGTGTGAACTGGAGGCCAAGAATACCACAGTATTGTGTTGGTTTGTTCATGGGCTGTAGTCTGCTGAAGAGCATTGTGTTATTCTTAATGTTATGTTTATATAGTCTGACTGTATATTATGCAGTGTTTCCTGCCTTCCTTGGGAAGCAAGGAAACAACTCTTCTCCAACAAAAAACCCAATCACAGACTTAACACCCACAATCTCTCCACCTCAATTGGCCAAGGCTGTGCAAAAATCGACAGTAGGACTGGATTAAGATTGAGAAATTCTTGACCTCTTGCCCATGCTTGGCCGACTAGATTTCACTGCCTCGTCTGCTTGTGCGCAGTTGCGTATGAAGACTCCCGTGCCTGTGAAGTCTGTCTGGCATCTGTTACTCTGCATGCTGTAAAGTAAGATGTAGAATTAGTGATCCTGTGCCTGTGAAGTCCGTCTGGCATCTGTTACTCTGCATACTGTAAAGTAAGATGTAGAATTAGTGATCCTCTGGAGCAGCACATTCCGCTGAGGGCCATGCCTGTGTGTGAGCTCTGTGCAATGAATTTTATAACTCTTGAGTAATAGGCTCGAGTTTTGTCAGGACTGTGAGCTGCAATACAGAACGGGCACATCGTGACACAGGTGTCACACAGGTGACAAAACATGAACAGCAGCCTTGCCACAGTGTCAGGAAAAGTCAAAATGGACTCATTTACCATATTTCTCAGCATTCTGCTCTGTGGATATACCCTCAGATCTGACACCTATTTGATTTTGTATTAACAGTCCCAGTCTTATTCTCTGCTGGAGACAATTACTTTTTTTAAAGTGTTTGAATACACAGGAACATACTATAGAGAATCCGGGGAGAAAATCTGTGTTGGAGACAGGTCTTTCTCATTTCTAGCAAAAAGCAAATTTTATTTACATTGTATTTTCATGAAGGGAGCAACATATGATAATTATGGCAGATGCACTTTGCCAGTTAGGATATGAATGTGATGCAGAAATAAAAGGAAAATTCATATTTTCTTTGGTATATATCTATTAAATTTCATTTAAAACAGATCAAGTAAAAGGATGCTATAACGTGGGACTTCTGGAATTTGAAAAGTGTAACATTAATTTTGTTAGCTAATGTCTAGGAGGAGAAACAACATGTAGGTAAAGTCAGTAAAGATGTACTGACTTGGATCTCAAGCAGGGTGAATGAGCTCTTTTTCTTATGACCATGTTTTCTATGTTGGGGGCTATATGGGCTGCCTTGTTAAATGATTGCTGTTTAATGGAAAAAATTGTTATTATTTTAATTTATGAAACTGATCACTTAGAGCTAATTATTTGTATCCTTTTCAAACTCCAGGTTGTACTCTCAGCCTTTTTTCCCCTTGAGCTAATTCTGTTGGTGATGCTTTTTCCTGGAAATATCTTAGTTCTGAGCTTTTTGAGGCTTTCAGTTTGTTTATTTCATAGTAATTTCTGAAATTGTTGTTTTTCATAAATGATGCAGGTAAATGCAGAGCGACTTTCATAATTGTAACTATCAATGGTGTACAAAAATACAGTCAGATTTTTATTTCTGAGCTTCACCCACAAATGCTGTTCATTGTGTTGGCTGAAACCTCAATCTTTATAAAAGGAATGTGTTATAAATAGAATAATATAAGAAAATGGAAGGGGTAGTTAAAATTATGAGGCCTATTGTTTTTTCTAATGAATGACCCTTTACAGATGGTACATTAGAACAAACATTTGTTCATTTCTTACTGACTTCTGTTTCTGACAAGCTGCTTGTTTTAACCACTGTGCGGTAATTGACAGTAATACACCCTTTCAAACCAATGAAAGGAAACAAAATAGATGTCCCTTCTGTAAATACCTATAGAATAATGTGTGAAAGGAAGCAGCATCTGTTCCTCCCAAAGCAAAATGATTTGTTTCCGCTTTTGTTCTGTTGCAGAAGTCAAAACCTATATAAGAAGAATCTCTATGCAGAAGCAGTAAGAGATGCCAGCAACCACGCTGACAATAAGAACGTGACACCTACTAGCAGCAAGTCTCGGGTAACTATATTAATGTGGAGTGGAAAGGGAAGCAGGAAGGATCAAAGAGTGTTAGGGATCCACTTGAGATTATCCATCAAATAATTCACATCTTAAATATATTAAATAACTGCTAGAGTCATCAAGTGCTTTGCTGTGAACCCTAGTTCATCTTACCTCATTGTTATCCCTCAAAGTTCACAGCTGCCTGGATGTATTGCAACCATTAGCCAGTGTTATTGTTAGCTTTGAATGCAACAGTTGGGGAACTGTGTTCTAAATTAAGGAAATGGCAATGTGATGACATGGCATATCACAGAGTTATTTTCACAGGAAAGTATGCCCTCCGTCAAAAAGGCTTCTTGGAAGCCAAGTATTGTGTCTGCTACACGAGATGTTGAACTTTATTTTGGGGGTTGATGAAATTAAATGTCCTTGTTTTAGAGGCTGCTACCTTGTAAAGAAAACAACCAGGATGTTATCAGGCAATTTGGGAGGAAATATAAAATATTGATTTTGCACTGGGGTAGGTAGAAATGCCATCACGATCTGGTTGTACTGGCTTCTCTCTGTTACCGTCTTTGAAGTTGCACCAGAGAATTTGGCTCCATCAGATCTGATCTAAGGATCTGATACTCACTGGCATTAAAGTGACATTGCACTGCTGGGTGATTGCAACTGAAACTTGAAGTTGAGAAAAGTGACATAATTGGCATCTGTGGCTACTTCTGTGCCCAGCCTGAGACTCCTTTCTCAGAATGGCGTGACTTACCCTGAGAACTTGTCTGCACACATGTATCATTCAGCTCTGAATAAGAATATCACCGTACTTGCCTGGGTAGCATCACATTAGCTAAGCAGCATACACTCTTCAAAACAAGCACAGTCATGCCAGTGGAAAAAGGCTACTGGAAGAGTTTATACTTGTACGGGACTGGTGATAAACTCTTGTGAAGCACACACCTTTTTACTGGGGTAGCTGCATACATGTTTTTCTAGTATTGGTATTACTGCAAGGTTTTAAAGCCTTCCACACCCAACTACAGCAGGAAAGGCACAAGAACCATGTGCGTAGTAGTCATGGTCACAAAAGAATTTGACTTTAAATGGCCTGAAGTTTGACTCTGCTCCAAATCTTTAAGTCCAGAAAGAGATGAGTTTGTTCTACTTGGGAATCTGATGAGGGGTTGAATATCATGGAGTATTTATAGTGCAAATCCAAGGATTTTTAATCAACCCAAAGAAGGCCTCACAAATGGTTTAGGTTGAGAGTCTGGCAGGATTTGTGAGTGGGTAGCGACTGAAACACCCTATCAAATGTAAGTTGGGAGTACTGCATTGACTTGACCCTTGTTAAGACCTATTGTTCCTTAGTGGGCCAGCTGCATACTCATGTGGACTTTTTATTACCAGCACTTTGTTCCTCCAGGTACTGGACAGCAAATGTGCTGAATCATGGTGAAGCCATCGTTTGTTCACAGCACAGACAGAAACCACAGCTTGCAAAATATCTGAGGCTGGGAAAATCAGAAACATTTGTTGGGGCTGAAAACAGCTTGTTGCCTGGGAGGCCTGCAGCTCATCAGCTCTGTCCTCACCTGCTGTCGTCTCCCCAGTTAATGCTAGTGGTCAATGACATCTTTGCTGAATATAGGAGTAATTAGACAGCTAAGCAATGGACTGAATCAACAAAACCAAATCCAACCTACTCACCTATTGCACACTCATGTTAAATTTCACCATGTGTTCTTGTACGGGAAGACATCAAATACATTAATAAAGCAATTTATTGCAAATGGCTGGTTGCAGGCTGGAAGAGGAAATCACTGACCCTTAGCTAATTATTGCTGCTTACACAGTAATGGATTCCTGTGGTTTCACGCATGTGATTTTCTCTGTGCTCATGTAGCCATTGAGTGTTCAGTTCACTGCGTTAAGTTCATGCATGCGTGCACTCAGGTTACAAACTGTGGAGTTGCCAAAACGCAGCAGGAAGTTGTCCATTTCTACTGTTCACTTAAAGTGGATTATTGGGGAGCTTTATGTAAAAAAAGAGATTAGACTACATCAGGGACAGAGAACTCTGTAGCTCTTCAACTCTTAAGGTGCTGGAATAGGTTTTTAGGTGCCATTGATTTACACAGGATTAATAATCCTAATGAAGGACTTTGTATGGGGACTGGATGATATGTACGCAGTAACTGGAAAGAGCTCATGAAATCACTCCTTTTGTAGCCCACAGTGCTACTGCTCGTTTGTGAGGCTGGGAGAGGGAGTGCGAAGACTTTCTTGTTCTTGCCCATCTAGGTCAATGTGGAGGATAACAAGCTTTTATGCTATCACACATATCAAATGCTAGGTATCAGGATACTGAAACTATACCTATAAATCGTCCAAGTGTCATTCACTTTTCCCTTTACTTCTATTCTGCCATGTGAATGAATACATTTAGCTGAAGGTATGCCAGGGTATTTCTTCACATTTATATTAGAGATCCATAAGCCAGGCTAGGTTTGTCCTGGGGATATGTAAGCCTTAGTAAAGTTCTGCACATGCCTGAATTCTGATGCTGTCCTGAAACTTTTCATCCAGCAAGCGTTCTGCTTTGCGCAGCCAAAGATATTTTGCAGAACTGCGAGGAGCTGAATCTCCTCTGAGGGTCTGTCACATGTGGGTTAGCAGCTGTAGGCCTGCAGATTTTATGTAAATGAACTGATGCCTAAATAGTCTGTGATTTAGCTGCATAAATCCACCAATTATCCACCTGGACCACTGAATCTGTCAGTCCTTCTGTTGGAACATCTTATTTATGGATGTTTTCTCTTCTTCCCTGTTTCTGCTCTTTAAACATCCCCCCTTTACTGAGTTTCCCTCT